CTCTGTCTCAAGGAGTTGAGGTACTCCTGGGGGAATCTTCATTCTTCTGTAAATCTATAAAAAAATTAATTTCTGGAAATTGAGCCACCTGGAGAAAGGGAATGATGCTGGGGTCCACAAGTACTAGGAACCTAGAAATGGGGCCCCTGGGAAGAGGCAATCTGGTGGCAGATTCCCAAGGAGCCAGAAAGGTCTAGACCTGCAGCTGCTCCTTTTCCCCAGAGAGGGCACCATATGTCCAGCACAACTTGTTTGCTCCAGTTATTGAGCAAAAAACGGGACCACATACTTCGAAATATTGGGAAGTACCTGATTCTTGGGTAGCTCCCCAAAGTGGAGAAAATGGATCTGAAATGTCAGAGAAGGCATCCAGGGGAGAGGGGCAAGGAATGGCCAAAGCAGACGCCTGGAGGTGAGAGCAAAGCTGCTGGAATGGAGGAGGAAGTAGAGGATGGTTTGGAAATATTTGCCTTTACGACTATGGGAGCCTATTGGAAGAGGAGATGGAATCTTAGTCGTGGGGGAGGGGACTTCCTGAAGACCTTGATCAAAGATGATCTTTGAAGGGGCAGGGGACATTCCTGGCAGAAGTCATAGCACATGCAAAAGTGGAGGTTGTCTCTTCCCCACCCTACCCTTAGAGGTGAGTCAAGATCATTTTTAGTTTGAAGGCAGGCACCCTGATTCCAGACCCCACACCATTACTACGTTGTTTAAACGAACCAATGAATTAATAAATGAAAAACGGGCACATGGATAAGTAGATGATTCACCTGAAAATCCTGCAGGCAGAGGAGACTCCACATCTGCCTGTTTCTTGCCATATCTTCTACCTACCTCACTTGGTCCACCATCATCACTCACTATGGCTCATCCAGTCCCTGCTAACCTCTCCAACCCCATTTTCTGCCACAATCCCCCTTGATCAATTTGTTGCAGCCACACTGGGACCTCTTTCTGGCACATTCTTAAAAAAAAGAAAAATGTATGGATCACATGGCCCTTAAGGAATGAATTGGAATTATTGACTCCCTTCATGTGTAAAATGGAAATAATAACCACCCCATAGGATTGTTGTGAGGGTTGGATAAGACTACATGTAAACAGCTCAGTTAAGCATTGGGTACAATCAACAAATTATTCTTTGAAAATGAATTTGTACTTTCATTGTAATCAGGATCTTAATAGGAGCTGACGGACTGGCTTCCACAACCCACCTCTGTCCAGACTATACTAGTAAAGGTCATTTGCTCATGTGGCAAACATTTGGCACCTACTGTGTCCCTACCCTAGTTTGGGTTTGCCTCTGTGGTGCAAAGGGCACTAATTATGCCAGGTGGGTGTTGTGGGTTTTGGTTGTGCCCATGGCAAATGATTAGGGGTGTATGGACCCAGTGTGTGTGTAGATGGGGATAGATGGACACATATCAGGACTAGAGTTCAGGAGATGTGTGTGTGTGGCTGATCTAGGTTTGTCTATCATTGTCTGTGGGTATGTGTTTTGTCTGGGTATACATACTTGTGTGAGTTTCCCTTATCCTCTGTGTGTTGGTGGGGTGCCTGTGTGCATGTGTAAGTGTATACGTGTGCATGTATGCCCATATGTGTTATCCTGGGCTTGTGTGTGTGTGTGTGTGTGTAAATACCTAGATTGATGTGTGTTCTCTCTATGCCTTTGTGCGTTTCCTTACTTTTGTGTGTGTCTACATGTATTTCCACATGTGTGTCATTCCCTGTGTGCCTCCAGCCTCCCCTCAGGTGTGTATCCCACCCAAGTGTCCACCTCCACCTAATGGTGTCTAGGCCTCCCCCACACCTCTCTGCCTAGCTGAGCCTGTGTGTACCTGGCAAACTGATCTCCCCGCGGGCTACTCCCACCCCTCGCCCTAAGGGAGTTAGTTATTTCTCTACGTTTGTGTCTCAGGGTGTGCCTCCATTGCCACCCCCACATGCCTTCTGTGGTGAATATCAACACTGGAAACTGAGTATCTGCAGAGGGTCCTGCGTGTGCGTGCGACTGGGTGTGCAGACCAGAATGAAGTGGGGTAGGGGGCTTGCCTCACCACCCACTCCGACCCTCCCGACAAGCACCCACCCCACCCCCACTTCCCAAATTGCGCATCCCCAATCGAATCGGGGGGAAGGGAACAGGATGCGGCGTGGCGCGTGCGCACTGCCCCCTTCAGCACCGAG